CGGTGAAGGAGATAATCAAGTCGAGCAAGACAGCCAGATGAATATATCGAGACTTTAAGATTTCCTCTAATTGGTGCGACTTTGTGGTATCAGGATAACGTAGTCTTCCAAGGGCCTACTGATGCCAGGCTCATTAATATGAACGATTCTTTAGGAGTTACGTAAGCAATTATGCCATGTAAGTGCATCGAAGATGCTTGACACCTCAAACAAAGAATATTGGTGTCGTTCGCTCACCCCGGACGTACTAGATTTCTGCTCAACCTGTGTTACATGCAGCGGCTTCCAATGATCGCACTACCCTACTCCATGTCCGCAGGTTTCCCAGGTGAAAGCGCAGGCATTAATATCATGGCCCTCTAACATCCGCCAAGAGAGGAAATTGATGTATCCTGATTATGCTAGACTACTTCACAAAAGTAGATAAGGCAGAAGTTATGACCACATAAGGCGCTGAAACCGTCAGTTCAGTTTTATCCAATCTGTGGAATTATCAGCACGAAGTGTTTAAAGCGGTACGCATCGATCAAGATCCTGATTTTGAAAGCCCAGGACTTATTGAACTCTGTAAGACTTTTCACATCTCGAAGACGCCCATGACACGTGACCATCTGCAAAACAGTGGTCACATGGGAAGTACAAATTGAATCCTGCAGTTTTTGAACAAGATGTTTTTGGCTATTTTCACATTAAAGTTAACATCACCAGATATGCAGGCAAGAATGCGCATCATGCCAACTATATGCATTATAATTTCAAATTACTCCATCAGGCAGCTTAGCATGTTACTTGATCAGAAAGAATTCAAAATTCGATATAGTATAATAAATGTTTGCATATTTTCCAGTGGATCATACATTACTAAAATTTTCGGCTTTCACCATTGGAATCCGACATTGCTAACATAGGGCTTTTCAGAATTACATGGGAATTGTGTGGTATCTGTAATGGAGTCAGCAGTAATGTTCCGTCAGCTAAAAGTGCCTAGCGTATGAAGAGTTCAGTGACTCATCCCATTTAGCTTCATGTGGCATTTTACAGGCCTTATGAATGTCAGTCATTCTCCTTTTGCTTAAAAGGTTTCCTTTTCGACCTAAATATGTAAATGAGTAAAAGATGTTTATTAATGTGCTCACATTGTTGGGAGTAATATGTCATTTCTGAGGTCTATATCTTCAAAATTTACTGTCTACGATCGCGATCATTTGTAAGTGAAGTCATATAAATTGCTTTTCGTTTGGAAATTCTATTCTGTTTTGCAAGTGATGATCTAGTGCAAAGACATTTTGATGACCTACACATAGAGAAGTGGAAACTAAGGGTGGTACGAACGATGAGTATCAGATGGCACCTTCCTCCTTCTTTTCTTTCCCCGATCTCTGCTCCATTTGCCTAAAAATTTCTTAGTGCGGCATTTGCGTAGAGAAAGTTCATCGAGAGACAGGAGTACAATTAGAGAATAGCCTCCTCTATGTGGTGTTCTAAGAGCACCTTAGTACGTGCAATAGAGGCCGTTCGGTCATTGATTTTGAAGGGAATAATGTGACTGGCCGATGTTACTCGGTATAAGGTCAATCATTTGTTCCTATAAATAACCATGAATGAGCAGCTAAATGAATGAATGAAATGGTAAGTGGGTGACTTGGACTCGGTTGGCATGTAATCCTAACTTTAGTCTCGTTCCTGTCTCATTTGCGTCGGATGAACAATCGGTGGGTGGATCGATTAATAGAAAAATCTGATCTGAAGTAGATATGTTTTCCTTTCTCTTACAGGTGAAAGTTCAACATCATCCAAAACACTTGTGCCCTTACGCAATATTGAGGCCATCTTGACAACCAGGACTCACAATCCGGTAACTGTACCCTTTCCTACCGGCTGGCCAGCAGCAGGCTGCCAACTCTTGCGTGCACCAAGAAATGCATAGGGATAAGTGAAGCGGGTCCCTCTTCTACCGTTTTCA